CAATAATTTTACTTTTTCTAAACTATTAACCCCTATAAATAATTAACTAATAATTTAATATAATATACTAAGAGCTAGTTTTAAATCATATCTATACTTTTTGAAGAGATCAAGCTTACAGTTATCTTATATAGGGTATATTGTTGGTGTTAAAATATGTCAATAGTCTAAATGAGCAAGAATCTTACATAGAGCCTGTTTGGACCTGATTTTTTCACCCAAAAAATTGATTTTTTGACCGTTATTTTACTATTACAATCGTCATATTTGACTTTTTCTCTTACAGGTGGACCCCACTTTTCTCCTAATGGTCAAAAATTCAATTTTCAAAATCACTCTCAAACAAGCTCATAATTTTGACTGATGATGAATTTGCAAAAGAATAAAGTCACTTGTCCAAGGTTAAAAACAGGAGAAAACGATGGGATGTTTTTGTTTTAATTTTTCAATCTACTCAATCATGCATCGACATGTGTCTCATTTGAATTTGAATCTGAATGTGTAGCATGATTGTTTACAAAACACATCATTTAAGGCAGCATAACACAAAGAACTTTGCACGTGCGAGCTTTCAATGCATCTAGAAACAAGGATTCATACTTATCATCACATTCACAATATTAAAAAAAAGTTATTGAGTTTGGTAAAACAAGTGGGGATTACAATAATTTCTAGACTAAGTAATAATTAAGAGGTGCTGATCAATTCTGTCAAGATCAAATCGTACCATCATTCACTCATATTCTTTACAATTCATGAATTTTCCGAAAAAAAAAAAAAAAAAATTATGTGGTTCAACATGATATCAGAGTTCAAATATTCCCGTAATTCATGTACGAAAATTTTACATGTCAACTCCATATGTAAAGAGATGTATCTCTTTTAAGTATAGTTCCCTTGCAAAGTTTAAATGTATTGGGACTTATACTACTTATGAAAAAATGTAATTGTTACTTAGGTTGAGGGTAATCTCAATGTTTTGGGATATTGCTCAACAAAACCACATCTTTCGGTGTCTTATTCTAATGTTTTCGTCCCCAAGTTGGCAACTTCTATTTTATCACTATACATGTTGTGGTCAAACTTGTGATGTGATTTGGATGTGATTATGCTAAGATAGAAATAAGAAACTTATCTCAAAACTAAACTTAAAGAATGAGCTGTTATAAGGATGCTATTATTAAAATTCGATTGCTTATTTGAGCCTTTCGGGCGCTGATATTGAATTATAAATAAGGTTTCATAAGTTAAGTTTTTTGAGCTATAACAATTGGTATCTCTGTTTTTTTATTCCTTGTTGTATAATTTCTTAATGAAATAAGCAACCGTTGAAAATAATTATATTTTGTTACACAAAAAGATACGAAATTGTAAATTAACAATGTAAATATCGAAAGATTTATCGACTAAAGGAATAACATATATGACATGGTGATTGTTTACCAACTTTCTAGCTAGGACTCTTGCAAGTGTTTATATGTTTTAGATGAGTATTACCATCCGGTTTCAATAGTGCAAGAGCATTAGTCTAAATAAAATAAAAAAATGCCGTAAGTCCAATTAAAAAGATTAAATTGGTCTCGTATATCCTACAATTGTTTGGATTTGTCAGATTTTCCATCTTGACTCGTGTTCTAGCATTCTTTTGACAGAGTCCACGAGCATGTATGTTTCTCCATCACATATATTATATATTAACAAAACCCTATTTAAGAAGCCATTAATTTTTTATTTTTTCAAAATATAAACTCCTACAAACAAAGAACTAATTTGAGAATCAACTCTTTTGGTCCCAATTGAATGGAGATTGTCCTTTCCTCCTTTGAGGTTGAAAGTTCAACGATTTGTACCCCCCTTTCCCTTCACTCCTTCCAAAAAAAAAAAAAAAAATAATAATAATAATAATAATAATAATTTTATATCATATATATACGTTTTAAGGAAATGAGCTAGATTTTACATAATTTTGACAGATGATGTACTCACAAAACCACATATTTAAGATGGTACAATAAAGAGAGAATTTTGCTTTTGATGAATCTTGACAAACAAGAACAAAGTGTTGTTCTTATCCTTACATCTCACAATATTAAAAAATTATTGGAATAATGGTATGGTAAATAAGTGGGGATTAGAATAATTTCTATCCTAAGTAATAATAAAGAGGACCTTTATCAATTCTGTCAAATTTAAATCAAACCACCACTTCAAAAAATGGAAAAAAAAAATTGTCAAAAAAATTCAATGTGATACTAGAATTGGGTTATAATTTAGGACCATGCTAGATGTACATCCACTTTTTTATCAAATTTTTTATCTACACTCACAAAAAGAGGATGGGTCCCACACGCCAGAATTTTTAAATGCACATGGGGCCCACGTGCATGTGAGAGTAGGTAACCAATTCGGTAATCCAAATTCGGTACATATATATTTATCCTATAATTTATATTCAAGCACTGCAGTAAGAGTGTGTTTGATTGATTTTATTTTTTATTGAAAATGATTTTTCCACCTAAATTCCCATTTTTTGGGTGCTTTGTTAACAGTTTTTTCCATAAAGAAAATTTTCAAACTTTTGGTTACATGATGTATTTTTCTAAAAAATAAGGAAAATATTTTCTTTGAGGAATGGTGGTTTTTATTTTTCAGGTGATTCGTTCTCTGTCTCTCTTATCTATTCCCTCTCTCTCATTTACTCACCAATAAAAATAGACAAATATAATTTTTTTAAAATTGAAAACTAAATTAATCAAACATATTTAACTATCAATTTCCATACAAACAAGTTCTAGACGATTAAATTGTCAATAATTTATTTTCTTTCTATATAAATTTCGTGCATACAACCAAACGCATCCTAATTAATTTATGAATAATTTACTTGTCAAGTCTTTCACAAACTGAATTCAGTCTGCACATGAAAAAATATATTAAATATAAGATATAAATATATAAACTTCTCTCTTACTTTATCCAAGAATCCAAAACTCACAAAGAGATAACTATACTTGTCTTGCATAGTTAGCATTTCTTTATTATTTATTACTAATTATCTAAATGTATTTGTCAATTACTTAGGTTGACGGTAATCTCAATGTGTGTGGATATCACACAACAAAAACACACCTTTCTCGGGTGATTTTTCTCATGTCGTCCTCCGCAATTTGACATCTATATTTTATTTTAGTTTAAAGATATTGAATTTTATTTTTTAAATATTTGCAAGGTGATTATTTCTGCAGCCGGTTCTTACAAATCATCCCCAATTTTGCACGAAATCTTGTAATTCTTGAAAAGCTTATACCGTAGTTGGTTTACCGTTTTCGGCCCATTTTTCGTTTTCCGTTTTCGAAAACGCGGAAAACGGGTTTGGTTCGTCGTTTTCGAAAACGTATTTTCAAAAACGAGTTAAAATTTATAACTAAAAACGCAAAACGACATTTTATCGTTTTCAGTTATAAATGTCGAAAACGCTCAAAACGTAGAAATCGAGCTGTTTTCGGGGAAAACTAAAAATCGTTTTGAAAATGAAAATGCAAACCAACCACTACCTTATTTATTTTTTTGGGTCGACATGTCTACCACTTATTCTTCGATACTAACATGCTTCAAGTCCATATCTCCATTAAGCACATTATCTCTAATGAAGTGATAATTCACTTTGACTTAT